AGTGGAAACCATATCAACTGTTGGTAGAATCTGTTGTGAGGTAGACTTTCCATTGCCTTCTTAGCATCTTTTATATCTTAGCCATAGTTTACCATCTGCTTTTCTCTTACGCATTTATATACTTGTATATAGGCTGAGAAGGTTTTCAACCAAGATCTGTTCTTCAAGAAGACTGTCAAGTATGTTGGAGAACCAATGAGTCACTTGGAATCTATTGCTTCTTCTGCTGTAAGTTTCTCTTCTGCGCTACCTACAAAGGCTGAGGATTTTCCTTTCGTGTTGATTATTTCCGTCTTCATATATAACTTAGAGGCTTAATTTCTGCTTGATATCAGGTACGGGCAGCTATCAAGGTTAAGGCATCTGTAATTATATGCTTTACCTCGTCAGGAAGAGCAGCAAGGTTCACTACATTCCTTCTGGCTTAAACTATTCCTTCATTTAAATGCTTTTTAGCTGTCTACTGAATGTTTATTCCATCTCTATGAAGGTTGATTGCCAAATACAGGCCAACTATGCCCGTTCTCTCTGTTGTCATTCCCCGGCTTACGACAAATCAGCTGAAGTGGAACTTTAGCGGAGCCTTTGAGGTAAACTTCATTCTGATTGTGTGAATTGGAAAAATAATTGGTTGTTTTTTGTTATGCCACTTGCTAAATTTCAAGATTCAATGGTCACAGTTATTAGTTGCTTATGACTGCGTATCCTATTTGTCAATTGTCCACATTGATTCAAAGGGAATTGCAACTACTAAAACCTGCTGTATGAAGATTTTAAAAAAGTTAGCCTTTGGAATAATATCACCTCGTGAAATATTTAACCTGAGAAGCTCCACAAGTAGAACTATTGGCATATCTGAATTGCCTGTATGTGCTTTATTTTGATTATTGCTCAAACTTAACATCCAGTATGTTTATATTGTTGTCTCAGGCAAGGCAGTCACTTATTGTCAGAGGTCTCTTCCCCATGCTTGCTGACCCTCGTCACCCTGTAAGTCTCTATTTCAAAGAATTTAATTCATTGCAACAAGAATCTTGCAAATTTAGTGATATGGTTGGAATTGCAAACTCTAGCCGGGTTTGAAACAATAATTTCTCTAATGTATTGTGAATCCGTTGTTCAGGCGGAATCAACAAGTGCAACTAATGAATCAGTTCTGAAAGTGGCTCTAGACCATGGGAAGCAAGCCGGAGTGATCAAATCACATGACAGAGTTGTGGTATGTCAGAAAGTGGGGGATGCGTCCGTGGTCAAAATCATCGAGCTAGAGGATTAGAAGAAGCGGCGTGACTCTCGTCTGTCTTTTTTTTTCTGTTACTAATCAATTTTATCACAAACTCTTGGTGCCTTCCAAGAAAATACTTGCGATTATTGTTTCGGCGGCGATATGCTAGATACTGGAGTGCGATATATCTCCTGGACTTTTGATTTTGTATTTAGGAGATTAATGTTTCCAAGTTATGATATAAACCACTTCACACTTGATGCATAAATGAGAATATCTACATTCCTTAGTAAACTCTTGAGTCATCTACCCAAAAATCTTTTATCAGAAAAATTGCATTTGTTAGCTTTGCATATCCAATCAAATACTTAAATCTGTGTAAAGCGGTTAAAACTTGAAACTTCGAAACTATTAAAGGATTATAAAAGCTATTACATCGATTATTTTATTGAAAACTATTATTGAAAACTAATTAGTGATAATATATATCGATAACTATATATGCAATTATAATTTCATAGGAGATGCAATTACAATGAATTACAAATCTGCAAAAACGTGGAAGTTCTTGGAGTCAAGGACAATGAGCCTAAGAGCTGCAATGGCAGCAGCAACAGACATCAAACTGAAGAAGACAACGTTGAGCCAGTGCCACAGCTTTTGCAAAGAATTGAGCTTATTGTTCTTAGCCTTATAGTACATGTGGTTGGCTAAAATGAATGTGAGAGGGAATGTGCTTACTGCACCCGTCAGGCTCATGAAGTCCCCAAGGAACGGTAAGAGCGCTGAGAGAAGCGTGCTAACCGCTATGTACCCGCCTCTTGTCATGATCCTAAACAACAACTTCTTTAAAGCCAATGGATTTTCTTTGATCCCAAACTTTGTGTCCATGTACTCATACGTTGGACTCGCAAAAATCTACAACAAAAACAGAGTAAGGACGGATTGAGCCACAAATAGTTTGAGTTGAGACGGTTATGGTTAATGAATTGTCCTCTCGAAGAGAAACTTACGTGCAAAGAGATAACAGATTGAAGGATAGCAGAGATGTTAGCAAGGGCTTTGACCCAAAGTGGACCGTTAACGTTGTTTAGTAGATATGCCGAGGTTGAGGATCCGTAAGCCCAATATCCGATGAATACAACCGCGTACATCGGTAAAACACCCACTGTGAATTGAAAGTATAGGGCCTTCATCATGTTTTTCACAACCGGTTGCCTTACTGTTGCCTATCATTGGATAAAAAGGAAGGGTCAATTATGCGTTTTCGTTATGTAAAATGGTTTTAAGAATATCACATTTTAAGTAAGATTCCTAAAAGGCTAAAACATTAAGCTGAAATGTCGAAAAATTAACCTGAATTTCTGGAAGCATCCCGGTGTTGAATACGAAAACTAGTGTTGCGGCTGCTCCAGTGATGGTAAAAACTTTGTTTAATGGTGATCCTTGTATCTCATAATCTCTTGAAGGTGCTTTGACTCCTACAAAAACAAAAGGGAGGAATCTGAATTATCAATTACCTACAAAATCCATAAGTAATCTCTAAAGCCTGATCATCATTTAAGTTATACCATCTTTAACCGATAGCACAATTGCTATGACGATATAGATGATGCTTAGGATGGTCGAAACCGCAAGCCAGATCCCGAGAGCCGATAAGTGAGGAATACTAATCGCAAAAACCGCACAAATCAGACCCGCAATAGCTATAAAATGAGGTAGTTTCATGGCATGATCATCCCTGAAAAGCACATAAACAGCCTGCAGGAAAGCATACCCAAGGTAAATAACTCTGCCTCAGGGGAATCAAGAATCAAGAGAGAAAAATATTACTACCTTTAAGGCAGAACCAGCTAGTATGATGAATCCACAATTAATCATGAAAAGATTGACATATTGCAATAACCATGTTAGACAATAAGCATTTCTACCTGCAAAAAGAGACATCCATTTCAATGGACGTCACAGAGAAAAATATAGGAAAAAAGAAAAAGATAAAACAAAGAGAGCTGCTGGTTTACCGTAAATGAACCCTGCAAGGTCTCTATAGCGAATGTGCCTTTTGCCACCAAACTCATGAAGCTTTGCTACGAGAGTGTTTGCATAGAGTGAGATTGCAGTAGCAAGAAGAAGACCAACCACACCACCAATCCATCCTAAAGGAACCATGACAGTTCCTGAATATCCCAACACATAAGCGCTGTTTATACTTGTTGTCAGAACGAACGCAGCCTGAAACCATGAATCTGTACATTCCAAGAAACATTAATAGTTAGCTTCTCCCAATATGAGACCATCTCTATGCAGTAGAAAGCAGAGTTGGCTTATGCTAAACCTCCCCAATCTTTTATATTTGTAAAACGTTTTCAGGGGTAGAGAGAGCTAAAACATATTTTTATCACATGCTTAACGTTAAAACCAAAAAAAGTGGGAAAATGAATTACAAACCGCTGCTAATCTGATGAGCAGTGTCAGGGATTTCGATATCAACATCTTCTCCAACATTGTTGATGCGGTTACTAGAGTTCATTATGGCAAATGGTTATTGTGTCTCTGGAGCTTAGCTTAGAATCTTGCTCTTTATAATCATTCACTGCAAAGTTGGAATAATATATAAACAAAGTCTACCAATAAAATGATAGTGTGGGACTTATCACAAAAACACACAATCAAATCTGAAATATATGTGGCTATGAATGTGGAGATGATACACACTTTAAATGTTTATTTAGACCGTTGAAGTGATGGAGATATATATGTAGGAGAAGTGGAGTGTAGGTAGCTTGGTCGTCCTTAAATGATATTTTGGACATTTATGCCGTCTTGTTGTTACGCAGAATAAGACTAGATACGAAAATATGTAATGGGGAGTGGGGACACGAAAGATAGATCAAGTGTACTAGATATTTTTGACTTTTTTTTATTGTTTGGTTATTTAAAAAGTGGCGGGGACCTATATCAACGTCCGACCCACATTGAGCCAATCATCGTGTTTGAATACTTAAACCCAATTTTTTATTCAACTGTGACATCACAATCAGATTAACATCAGCTGTAATAGAAATATCTCGTTTTTTGGTTGTTTTTGTTTATAAAGTTTGCAAAACATTGGTTATACATCAAAAGCTAAATTTGTAAGAAATATGATCAAAATACTGTCCACATCATGTATTCTTGTAAAATATATAACTAGGTTTCACTTATAACTATCTCTGTGTATATATGAATTTACTTTATTACACTATATTTTTTACATGCTAACTGATGATGAAACAACAGAATTACATGCCAATGCTATGAATGTAAGTTAAATAATGTATCACATTTACTATATATTAAAAAGGTTTATTTACATGGTATGCCATTAGAAAATAGTTATAGATGTTGGTTTATAACTTGAACAAAAAAACTAGGATTTAAAGTCTCTATTTGGTCAATTACTTTCTAATTTTTCTGGTAAATCTTTAATTGATAAGTTTATGTCATATTCAAGATTAAGTACAGCTACAACAAAAAGCGCCCGTGGCCTAATGGATAAGGCGTTTGACTTCTAATCAAACGATTGTGGGTTCGAGTCCCACCGGGCGTGCTATCTGTTTTATTCCAAGCCGGCCCATTTTGTTACAAATGGTCGGCCCATTTAAACTTACATTATTTTTAGCAAAAAAAATATAATTTAGACTTGGTCGGTTTGTTATCTTGTAGTTTAGTGGTACTTAACCTTTTTAAAGGATCTTTTTAGAAGCCCTTTATTAATTACAGTAAATAACTCTTTTCCGTCATCGGTATTGCCACGTGTCAGCCGTTGATCTTCATCTTCCCACACGTAGTAACTCTGTTCACTTTCTTCGTCCCGGAGAAAAAATCAAATCATCGGAGCGATGGACATGAGATAGAACAGAGCTCACTCACTTATCCTCCATCGCTATGGCTCTCGAGTGTCATCATTACAGCTCTCTTCTCTGCGTGTAGGCAAAGGCAACTCCCCAGGTTTTCTGAGAGGTATATTATGGGTTTGTCCTTTTCCAACCTCAACGGCGATACTAATGGTTTCGCAGCCGGTCCGAGTCTCGGCGATATACCTGAGAGCTGCGTTGCTTGCGTGATTCTGCACCTTACTCCGCTGGAGATTTGCAATCTGGCTCGTTTGAATCGAGCATTTCGTGGCGCGGCTTCTTCTGATTCTGTGTGGGAGAAGAAGCTGCCGAGTAATTACCAGGATTTGCTTGATCTATTGCCTCCGGAGAGGTATCAGAGCCTCTCTAAGAAGGATATTTTCGCCTTGCTTTCTCGTCCTATCCTTTTCGACGATGGTAATAAGGTTTGTGTTCCATGATTCCTTGCTTTGATGGATTAGAATTGGGAATTAGGGTTTTTCTTTTGTATGTTGTATCTATCTAAGGTTTTTATCTGGTAGCAGTGTCTTGTTTTGATGATGTATGGACACATATTGCTGCAGGAAGTCTGGATTGATAGATTGACAGGACGAGTTTGTATGGCGATTTCCGCTAGAGGAATGGCTATAACTGGAATTGAAGACCGCAGATATTGGAATTGGATTGCAACTGATGAATCAAGGTACATAGTTTTTACCAAAATTCATTGCACTTTTACAAGATTCAGCTAGTACATATCAAGGGCATTGCAATACTTGGTTATTTAATCGGTTTCATCAACTGTTGAACCTTGGTTCTCAGTTTCTGCTAGGTTTTTTGAACCTTTACAAAGTCAGTCTTAAAAACAATACTCTCTTTGGCAGATCAAATAAGGGTTGAAGTTTGCATGAGTGTTACAGTTGGATGAGTGGTCTTTCTATATATATGTGTGTTGTAGTTTCTTGGTTTTTCATAATAGTTATTTTTATGGGTCTATCAAGACTTGCAGAATGATTAGCCTAATGACAATATCAAGTTTCTGTAACGGGAGAATATGAATTCCATTTGAAAGTTGAATACACCGATCCTGACTTTATGTACTGAAATACACACAAAAGGGTATCTTCGGTTGCTGAGCAACATTACATCAGCTGATTCCATATTCTTGTACAGGTTCCATGTTGTAGCCTACTTACAGCAGATTTGGTGGTTTGAAGTAGATGGGATGGTGAGATTCAATCTTCCTCCTGGTATATACTGTCTATCATTCAAAATACATCTTGGAAGATTCTCGAAAAGGTTGGGAAGACATGTTTGCCATTTCGAACACACACACGGTTGGGAGTTGAAGCCTGTGCGGTTTTCACTTTCAACTTCAGACGGGCAAGAGGCATCATGTGAATATTACTTGGCTGATAAAGGAGGAGAGAAAATGGGTGGGGAACACAAAGGATTCTGGAGAGAGTATAAGGTTGGAGAGTTTGTTGTGGGTTGCTCAGAACCATCAACTGAAGTCCGATGGTCGATGAAACAGATCGATTGCACACATTCAAAAGGTGGAATCTGTGTGGATTCGGTCTTCATCATCCCGTTCGACGTGAAGCAACGCAAGAAAAGGAAAGCCGCAATGAAATATTAGTTAGAAATAAGGAATTGTACATCACACTTTGCGTATACAACATACTTTGAAGGTAAAACTGTTTATCGTCTTCATCTGGGTCTTGAGTTAGGTATAGCATTGTTAATATGATCGAGTAATTGTTTATACTCCGTTTGTTCCAGGTTGAAGGAGAGAAATCGCGATTCTTTTCTGTTTATCATTGCTTTCTTGTAAAAACCTTTGTTATATACAGCAACATAGTTTCTTATAAGGGCCCAGGTGATGTAAACAGAAGAATCCATTTTTTGAAGTCCAGTTGCATTTTGCATGTTCATTTGAAAAAGTAATAATGAATCGATGCTAACATGAAACTTGAAGGGATATAGTTTTAGGAGGTGCAGTGGAAGAATGTAGGTAAGTGGGTTACACGTTATGATTACGTAGATAGGCTCTGACTATTCTAACTCGAAAGATAAGGAGGAGGGTCTTCGTTTCAATTGTAAGGACCATCCCTTCTTCGAAATGGACCACTAGAGTTAATTGTTAAAACGTGTATTTTGCTATTGTAAAGTCTATTTCCTATTGAATTTTGATATTTTTTTTGTTTTCAAGATGGAGACAAGCTGACAATTTTGACATAAATTACCCTCAAATAAAAACGAAAGTAAAAAAAAAAGGCAAAAGAAAAGTCAGGTTCTGTCTTCTTCACTGGGTTGGCACTTGACAGTCCAAAGTAGGCAAAGTACTTAATCGTCAAAATTGTCTGAAAAACAACAAAGCTTATATGTAGGTAGATTTCACCATGCTCTTATATGCATGCATATGTAGCAAGTACGTTTACACTGAAAACATTAACCGTTGGTTTTGCTTTTTAACTAACATGGTATTTGTGTCAATAATAGAAAGAAAGAAAAAAGTTAACATGTAAAGAAAGAAAATAATTCTAAGTGAGATTGATTCTTCTTTATACGAAAACCTTCAGTAAATGACACAACACTCTCTCTTGAGTCTTGAGCTTTACTTCTCTGTTACTACTGTATATGGTCCTCCTTTAGATTCATCATTTATACTTTTTTACTATTTAGTATTTTTACGTACTCACCCATTTTGTTACTTTTACTACTCTCTCTGTCTCTCTCTATTAATTGGAGTGTGAGTGTGACAATAATAATGAACTATCTCGACCCCAAAGTGTTAACAGGCTTTAGTTTTACCTTCAGCTTCCAACAGATATGCTTCAGTTCTTGAGTTAGCTTAGAACTAGCAGATAATCAGTAGATCTCTTTGGGTAAATTATCCTGTTTTTGTTTTTTTTTTTTTGTGAAGTAACTTCTATCGTAGTTACATTCTAATTCTCCTTGGTACTATACAACATTGATGATCAAATGTATCTTCCATCATCAATGTGAAATGAGCTACCTCTGATTTTGCAAGCATTGGTAGGAGCTCTGTTGACTTTCATAAACATATGTGAAATGAACCATAAAGTTAAACCAACCAGTTTAGGGTTATGATTTGTGTTCACGTTCATAGAGGTTTTTAATATTTTACACCAAAATCATAGGACATGACTTGGGACTCTTTTTATATTTCCGCTCTAGCTAGTACTTCTTTTCGATAACACATATTTCGAAAATATCTGATTAAAATTATCACGTATATTCATCTAAAACTAAGTATGACTTAAATACAATTGTTTCTGAGCGAGTCATTTTAAAGGTTATCTTCTTTTAAAAACTTTACAGATTTTTTTTTATTTTTTTTTCACATCTTAACGTATATATATTACAATCAACGTTTTTATAGTAGAGTGTGATTTAGAGGAACATAACTTATGCTAGAATATATCATCTTTAATCCAACCATATTCCATATTTTTCAGCATTATTAAAAATTTCTTCAAGATACGTTGCACTGCATCATTCCATTTCTAACTACTACTTTATCACCGGATCAAAACAAACAAAACAAAAAAAAAACTCGTAGATCGATATGATGATACAATTTTCACTAGTGCACTGTGCTCCCAAATTTTGTCAGGATCAGAATTGGACCCTTCTGATCTATCTGTTGGAGTAGCACCCTGCAGCTCCACAGTGTTAAATAAAGATTGTGGGGACTTTAATTTATACAAATACATACAAATAGATGATAACTGGAGGCTATACGTAAATAGATCGAGAGTACAAGTTTGAAATTGATATAATGTCAGATTTGGTGGTTGATTAAGGTAGAGAGAGTGATAGACATTTGTATAAAAGTAGAATCTGGACCATTCTATCTATCTTTTTTTTTTTTCACCTCTATATTTCTTTACTGTTACTTTCTCAAATTAATCACTACTTCTTTATAATATATAAGGGGATGCAAACCAATATACTACTTATTTTGATTGATTTTGAACAGGAAATTTTATTAAACTTTCAAAATTGTCTAAATTTTATTCCACAAATTTGATATCACTCAAAGATAACAATAGTAATCAAATTTTGCCTTTTAAAAAAAAAAATTTGGGTTTCAGTATAATTTTCTTTTAATCGATAAAAAAAATAACTGCATGGAAATGATATTATATTTCTTAACATGATTATATTGGTAGATAGAAAAAAATAAGGTGCATGAAAATTTTACACCATTAATTTACTTTACCTCGTTTTGTACCGCTTGTTCTGTTCATTTCTATTTCAACACTATTCACACTTTATTTTGCTTGTTCGCACCATTCAGACTCTTGTTACCGGTTAAAGCTTAAATGGAAGACATTGGGACACAATTCTTTTCACTTGATCACATAGACCCAATTAGTTAACCCGAAGTTAAAAACAGAAGCACTAGGGTTTTTCAACCATAGTTACTTATTACATTATATATAGTGCACATGCATGTACTAGCATTTGCATAAATATCACATCATCTTTAACTCCAAGTTCCATATCAGACCCCAAAGTTGTTCATTTCTTTATTTGGCTAAAAAGTAGTCTCTTGAAAGTGATTGTTGTACGCAGAAATAGACAGAAGAGGAAAAAAAGTCTAAGGTAAGATGGAATACTGGAGTAGCTCCTTCATCGATGGCGCTTCTTCCTCCAACTTCATGATCTCTCCTTTCTACAACTTTGACCATTTTCCAGGTACATATGCATCCGTAGTACTTGGAGCTAATTTTTAGTATGATTGACGCATAACCATTTACTCAACTATATGTCTCTAACAAGTCACTCTCTATTGTATTAATTTGTAGGAAACGATGACAACAGATGTCTCTCTTCAGGTACAATGGTTGGTGCACAACAAGGTATGCTTCATGTCCCTCTAGAAATGGTGGAAAATGGCTATGGAGAAGAAAGCAACAATATCAATGGACAGCAGAAGAAAAAGAAGAAGATGACGAGTGAGCAGCTAAAGTTCCTTGAGAGAAGTTTCCAAGAAGAGATAAAGCTGAATCCGGACAGGAAGATGAAACTGTCCAAAGAACTCGGGCTGCAGCCGAGACAGGTTGCGGTTTGGTTCCAGAACAGGAAAGCCAGGTGGAAGAACAAACAACTCGAGCATCTCTATGAATCACTAAGACAAGAGTTCGATGTTGTCTCTAGAGAAAAGGAATTGCTACAAGAAGAGGTAATTAACTCATTGATCAGTAGTAACTTAATAAATGTATCTTTTTCATTGTGTAACTTTCACTTTGTTTCATCAGCTTATACAACTGAAATCAATGATAAGAGAGAACGGTTCGAACAAGAAGATGCAAACCTGGGGAAAGCCTGCAGCGAGACAATAACGGGTTAAGTTACAAACTCAAAGGTTTCAAATAGGTTTCAAAAATGGCTCAAAACCTTTAGCTTTGGTTTAATAGAAGTTACAATTTCCTTAGCGGGTCCTGTTTTTGTATTAGATTTTTGTATTAGATATTGGTTTAAGTTACTTTCATGTTGGTTGGCAAACAAACAGTGACTTTCATTGAATGGAAATGAGTTCTCGAGGTTCATTAAGAATACTTCGTTGAATGGTGTGGATCAACAACCTCACTTTTTGGCTTCCAACGTCCTAGGCAAAGTTGAAATTTTTTTAAGTGCGGTTTTATAATATATAAGAGTAAAGAACAAGGGGATTGATACCAAACAAAAAGTTCCATAAGCTGCAGAAAAACCTCAAGTACAATATATTAGATCTGGTGCAAAACTAAAAAACAATTGGTGCCAAAACAAATGTCAAAACAAGAAGGAAAGATAAGTGAAGAGAGATGAGTGGGCTAGTCTATAGCTTCATTCAACGTCTGCCTCCACCACCACCCATCTTAGCAGCCTTGGGTGCAGCACTCTTGGGGATGTTGCCCTTCACTTGAGATTTCTGTTGCTTAGAAGCATACTCGACCTTCTTTGCCTTCTTCTCATCCTTGGTCTTCTTGATTCTCTCCTTGATCTCACTGCAGAATCACCAAATTTCTTTTCAGTCAATCACATTTCAGGGTTACAAAAGATTGATACATAGTGAATGTTTTAGGGTAAAGAAAACCAACCGTAGAGCAGCTTCTCTGGCTGCATCACGAACTTCGGGCTTCTCTGCTCGCTTCTTCTGGATAACTTCCAAAGTAGCACCAACAATAGACCTTGAGTAAGGCTTCTTGGTAGCACGTCTCCTTCTCTTCACAGCCTCTTGGGCAGCGTCCTGGAAGAGAACAGATGATAAGGGTCAGAACAAGAATTCAATAATACTAAAACAATAAATTAAGAAGCAAACAAGAGAACGAGTTATGACCTTCTTGTGTTGCTTTCTGTACATGGCAGTCCAGGTAAGCTTAGATGGCTTCAACTTATTGTGAAAGTACCTCTTACATTTGGAGTTAGCGAACAAAAACACCTGATGAATCATGAAAATAAGAGATTATAAATTAATACATAGACGCATAGAAACAAACTCTTAATACATAGAGCAAACATTGACCAATAGTTACCTGAGAGTCTGATCTGATAAATCTGATTCCTCTGCCAGGGTAGATCTTCTGACCACTGAATCGGCAAAGCTCAGTCCTACATATCAAATATAGTAAAGGCATTAGAGATATCACTCATCGTGTCTTAACAGAACACACATTGAACCATTTCATTTTGCAATATCCTAAGTTACAGGAAATGACTTAAAATGAAGAAATAACTAGTGGAGCATAACAATGGAAGAACAATGAGTACAAACAATCAACGAATTCTCCAGATTTCAAATAAAGACCAACACAATCAGTTCGATATACAGAATGAAAGGGGAACAACAAGATCTAGTTATTACAGAACACAAACCAGAAAAACTTAAGAAACTCATTCTAGCAAAAGGGCAGCTTTGACAATAGCATATTCACATTCACAAGGATCATTTAGCAATAATGTATGCCTATGAGAGCTGAGAAGAACGAAGAACAGAGAGATAGAGAGGGAGATGAGATTGATTACTTGAGAACCATGGCTCCGCCGCGCTTGTTACTCTTTTCACTCGAAACCCTAAAAAAATTATGCTTTAGATAAACGAATCCTATATAAGGCAGATGAATTCGCCTGAGCCCTAGCTCTCAAGGAATGTTATGGGCCTCTTAGCCCATTTAATACGATTTTGAGAAAGGTTAAGCCCATTAAACAAATATTTAAGCCCATTTCACTGAGCATCAAACTTGAATTTCATAAAGAAAGCAATAAAAGTCATGTTTTAACTTTTAAGCAATATAGTCATTGTACAATTCATTCCAACTTGATGATCATGGAACATAAGAATGATGTACATAAAGACACATTCGACGTTTTTATAATAAATATATCCATCAAACATACATGGTGCAAGTGAATTTGTAGTCGGAAGGACAAATTTGGATGGAACAAAACATTCATAATACTAGTAAAAATCTTGTAGTTTCTTAAGTTGAATGCAATAAACATTTCACTCAGTCCACACAAAAATAAAGAAAATGCAAAATGGATTCATCTTTCCAACTCTTCTTTTTTTCAGTGGAAATGATGTTTTATGTATCCAAACTCTATCCGAGTAATTTTGGACAATACATATTAGTACCCCCAATATGTATATGCTAAATGGATACGGAACAGTTAGAAAGTAGAAACTCAGTTACATCAATATTCATTTATAGAAATGTCGTAGTAAACCATTTTCTTGGGGATAAAATCATAGTTATTAGGTTCTAGATAGTAATCTGCATTGGTAACGTCTATAGAACAACTACTTGTCTGGTTTTGGACCTCATGATATATCTAATGTCAACTCTATCATTTTTATATGATACATTTTCTATATTTTCAATTGTTCAACCGCAAACAAGATCACAAAACTCCAAAAGAATCAGGGCTTAAATTGATATTAGTATAGACATGGTCACATGGTTAATGGATCAATCATCAATGTAATCCCAATCAGCCCATTGCAATCTCTCTAATCATGTGGTTGATACAAACTTTTTGGAACCACAATTTTTATTGTGTAAAAGATTTAATCACTCAAATGATCGTGGTCTTACTCTGGAAGACAATGATTTGCCAGCTACACAACTGCAAGAAATGTTGTGGTTAGATGCGTCTGAAGTTGCTGTCAACCAAAAAAAAAAAAAAAGTGTGTCTGAAGTAGCCCTGGGCACGAAGCGAATATTCGGAAAATTTGTGATATTTGTGATTTGCTTCGCTTCGACCGAATAGTTGATTTGCTATTTGCTTCGCTTCGTAAATTTTCGAGTATTCGGAACTTCGAATATTCGAATATTTTTCGTAATATTTGCGAATTACTTGCTTCGCTTCGTTTCGACCCATCTAATTTTTTTTAAAAACTAAAAACATATAGTACACAAATATAAAGTGCAAAATATGAGATATTAGAAGTTCTTGTTTGACATGTTTTCAAAATAAAAAGAAAATGTAACCACCGTCCATAGAATTCTCACATTTTATTTTTAATATTGATTTTTGTAATAAAGTTTTATTTGCTTAAGAACAAAATTTAGCAAAAAAAACCAACGGACCAAAATATAATAATTTGAATAATAAGCCTATAAGATATATACCCAAATCTATAAATACACATATTATATATATATATATTATAAAATGATTTATATTAATACATATATATAAATATACGAAGCGAAGCGGATATTCGGCATTAAGAAAATCAATATTTGTTATTTGCTTCGGTTTTTACGAATACTACATTTTCATATTTGCTTCGGTTCAATATCTTATAGATATTTGAATTTTTCGAATCGAATCGAAACGAATATCGAAACGAAGCGAATCTAACGAATATTTTGCCCAGGGCTAGTCTGAAAATATATTTTTCTTAAAAGATGGCCTTGTTATTCACCAATCTTACCAAAGTCCAAATCTATTGCCCTCCAATTAGAAATATTACCAAATCATGTTCTGTGTTCTTGTAGTAGTAGTTACACTGAATATGTGCATAGAAAAAGACTACAAAAAATTTAATAATTTTCTCAGTCTCGCAAGCATCCAGAGATGAAATAATCCAACTTTGAATACAAAATGATATGACATTAATGTAGACACACTCTATTTCTGAAGATGGTCAACTTATGTATTGACCAAGAACAGAGCACAACTGACTTGGACTACAAGTAAAACAATCTGATCTTATAACTTACTCACTCACAACAATGGCGTTGGACAACCGAAATTGTCCAATGAATGAATCATAGCTAAACACTTGAAACTTTTGTTCAAAGGAGGATTTGGATTCACTGGCTGCTGCAGAATCCCAAGAACCCCATGAATTCATGGTTATGTATCATCGTTATGCTCTTTTCTATCCCAATCACTCCCATTGTCAGAGCACTTGCACAAATGACTCCTGAGAGAACGAAAACGATTATTGACGCTCTTTTCAGGATCGCCACGAGCTTTCTTATAAAAGATTGTCCCCAGAATCCGGCAAGAATCGATACCGACATCAAGTACATTGCTGTTAATGAAACAAAGATTAACAACCATCAGTGTTTTTTAGTTTTCTCCTTACTGTTTAAGTTTCTCCTGGTATGTTTGAAGAGATCTTACCGTATGGGATTGGGAACCTCTTCAGGAGATAGAACTCGACTACGGATAAAGATGAAGAAAACATCATCACAAAGGTAGCTGTCGCGCTAGCAACCTGTGTTTTTTTATCAATAGGTAAAGATTAAAGAAAACAAGATTGATTTTGGTGTTTAAATCATATACTGATATGATTGTGTGTGTACCTGTGGGATGACTCCAATCTCAAGAAGCAAAGGGCCAAGAACAAATCCACCACCGGATCCAAGGAGACCACCTACAATGCCTCCAACAGCACCACAGAGACCACAGAATATTAGACTCAGAGGAGTCCACTCTATGGTAGCTTCACAGATACATTCAGTGTTTCCACTGCTCAGCCTTGTTTTGTTCTCTCCATACAACCTCTTTGCTTCACATCCAAACACCACTAAAGCAACTGGGAACTACAGATGGAAAATGGTTCCAAATGACATGATTTAGTGGATGCACAAAACACAATCAAAGATTATCAGGGACAAAGATATATTATTTACCTGTAAGACGAATAGCATCCAATATATTGGACTGCAGACCTTTATTTCATTCTGTATAAAGGCGAGAGTTAGACTAATGAGAGCTCAACAACGAGATTATTGAGAATGTTACGAAGAAGATTACTTACCTTGATAATTTGGATTAGCAAGAAAGCTAACCACACAGTTACAAGAACTAGAAGCCGTTTCCATTTGAGGTTGGAGCGTATTATTTCCTGCAAATAAACAACAAACCTGGTACTTGAATCTTTATGCAAGTCTTGAAGAGACAACAAGTTAGAAAATCATCTTGCATACACCTAACTTACCAGCTCTGATTTCTCTTCTCTCGGGTAAAGCGGATCATACTCTGTGTCGATTAAAACTGCACAACAGAACCAACAAGAAAGTAAACAATGTGGGAAGCTTATTATCATGAAACATTAGAAAAAACAATCATAAGGATGAAGCTTTACGCACGTTCTCCCCGGGAGTTAACCATATTATTTCGTTGCTGCGCCATTTCATTCTGTTTAATAAACGAAAACCACATAAAACATTTTGAACATCCCAACATAAAATAAAAGTCTCAACATATTCACTTTGATGGAAGAAAAAACTAACCTTCAACAATGTCTCTTCTTTCCACATCTCAATGCCTTTGAAAAAAGATCTTGAAGAAGTACCAACGAAAAGAATGATGATGAGGACAGTGATGAGCCAGTAAGGGAACACAACACTGAGAGAAACACCAACAGTGATACCGAGGAGAAGCATTGGTTGAAAGAGAAGAGCAAGATCATAGTCTAGGATTGGTACTTCTTTTGTCGGATGACGTACTCTTACATTGTACCAAACTGATGATGCTGATGCTCCCATTATCATACCTTCACAATCAACAACAACATTAATTCAAAACATTCTCTCATTATAAAACTTTATACATGATTGAAGGAATCATTACATTTAGAGATAGCAGCTGCGGATTTAGTGTCGAATCCAAGTATAAGAGTGAGCATAGGAACGAATATTCCACCGCCTCCAACACCACCAACTGTGCCACAAGCAGATCCTAAAAACGCTATCACAGTAGCCACCACTAGTTTCCAGCTGAACTCCAAATCCTACTCTCACAAAATTTCATACAAAAAAAAAGTCAAAAACCCACTTTTTGTTTTAGATTCTTCCAAGCTTATTGGGGGAAAAAGGTGTTTTATTTTATAGTGTTACGTAAGCAAATCAAATTAAGGCAAAGACACGTCTGTATATTCAAACGGATTAACCCATTTTCATTTCAGAAATGATAAATTTATATTACAATTGAAAACGACGCAAGTTCATGACCATGGAAAGGGAGAAGAAGAAAGGAAGAAACTTTAGAAAACTTACCGGCCAAACTTTCTCGGTGGCAGAGAGAGGAGAGGAAGAGGGAGAGAGATGATGAAGAAGAAGATCAGGGTTTGTTGTTGATGTGTCTCCGACGTAAGAAACAGAGAAGATGGCGACGGCGAAACCTACGAGAAGGTAGAGGATAAATCCTCCGGTGCCTTTTCCATTCCACAATCCCATAATTCTCAATTACAAAACCCTTAACGAATGAGACAAAACAATAAAATATGGAACAAAAAAAGTTGAGATTTTTATTTGTTTTTGTATGGTTCTCTATTGTGGTGAAGCAGAGAGATATATATATAAAAGCAGAGCCGGAGAGGTGACGACGGGAGATAGATGATAGAGGGTTTCTTTTTAATCAACTGTGCTCTTGCGTATACTATAACGATACTACCTGTTCTCATTTGCTTACACGTGGCATTATTTCTTTTTGTTTTCTGAAATTTGGACAATTTGATTCTTATTTTTATGTTTTTTTTGAGGCTGTAAACTGTCTTTGCACTTGTTCTAATCCTCCATAAGTAAATACAAAAAACATTGAATGTAAAGGAAATTTATAGAAAAATATAATTACGGATAAAGACAAATCATTCCACGAATATAGAATAAAATTGTCGTCAAATTACGAAAAGATTTTTCCTTAAAAATTATATCTCTTCAGTCCTCAATAGCCTATCTGAATTAGCGGAGATAAATCTCTTCAGAATTCTATTTTTCCTCATATTTTTCTATTTTTGTAATATAGATTATATAACATAATCGAACCAACTATTATAAAAACGCGAAAAGCATAAACAAAAAAATTAGTGCTCGCTAGCTATACGATCCAGTAAATGTATTCTGCTATGAGATTATAATGGCATAGATGTTGTACGAACTACACAAGAATATAGTCTACGAAGATATAGCAAGATTATAAAGTATTGGGGAGTTGAACTAGGCCATTCGCTAAATCATCTTAATCGGAAAGTTAAATCTTTTGATCAGCAATGCGAAAAGAATCGTGTAGGTTGTGTACGCCGCCAATATATACCCAACTACGTTTGAAAATAAAAATGATTTGGAGAAAAAGACAAATATTTTAATTTTATTTTAAATTCTCATATAGTTTTGATCGGGAGGCTTTGAGGAGAGTACTGGTTCCACCACTCGGCTATCCTCCAGTCAAATTTTAATTGGATTCGACGTTTCCTTTGTAGACTTCTTGTCGCATTTAACTTGCATGGGTCACCCACTGGACCAGACGACAAATCATCTAATGTAAGTAATATAGAATCATTTAAACGTTCGGAAATTTATTTTCACTGAAACTATAGCTAGAACTGAGTTTCTTTGATTGATCAGGTAATCTACATTTTCATCTGTTATAATCAAAAACTAAAACTACATATGTAGAGTTCATAGATATACGATGCAACATTAAACGTAAATATAGCATATAGACAAGAACAAAATATCCTAACATATGTGATTGGAAGAGTTTGATCCACAAGAACATTTACAAAGAGAGAGGCTAATCGAACCCATGTGGTGGTGGTGGTCGGTCATCTCCAGGAAAAAGACAAACCGTACTTCGTTGTTTTCAATTATGTAATCTTATGTAACACCGAGTCAATCCTGTCCCGTGATCCTTAGTTCGTCGGAGCCAAAAATATCCCACCTCGACGATATCAGATCATATAATTGCATTAGTCGAATTCGGTTCATAACTTCTTTAATTTACTCCAACCTTGCATCATTTTGTTCAAAGTTCATAATCTAGATGTGTATACAAACATTCTTACTTTCTGTAATCTATTTCTGAATGAAAACACATACGCACGTACGCCTATATTGGTTACCAAAACTAGGTACTATATGGTACCCATGATTAAGAAAGACATTACAACTAGCATTTTTTAAGTTCCACAGAATAGGAAGGTTTAAACTTTCAGAAAGTAAGAATACACAGAATAGAAAGGTTTAAACTTTCAGAAAGTAAGAATACAAACAGAGAAATTATCAGAATATGTTAATCTGCCTACAACAAGACAGATCCATCCAACACAAAAGGCCTATATATATATATATATATATATATATATATATATATATATTTCACAGCCTTCCCTTATCTTTCCGAGCCTCGTCATCCATCCGTCCAACGTCGTTGAATGTTTGACCAGTCATTTGATCGGAAGCCTTCAGTGAAGTTGCTACCTTACCCGCCGGCTTTGTATCTTCGACCTTGACTTCAACCACCGTCCTACCCGTTCCTCCATGCTCACGGGCCGCTCGTGTTTCCTCCACTATATCCGACGGCATTGTCAGTTTGCTCTTAATGGCTTCTGTCACATTCCCTAATGCACCAAATATTGTTCCCTTCGCTTCATTTCCCCTATAGACGATTTAACAAACATCAAAACAGCAAGTTTTAAGTTTAACCGTTGGTTATTCAAGAACATGACCAGATTTTAAAAATATAGCTAGCATTTATATTTATTTATTTACCTTGCAGCAGCAGAATCTTTGGTCTCTTGGGCTTTTTCAGCAGCCGACTCAGTATTCTCCTTAGCCTTTTGAGACACCTCGTGGGCTTTTGATCCAGTTTCGTCTTTGAGTTCTTTACCTTTCAATCTCATGTCCTCCATCTTTTGTCTCGTTGCTTCCCCTGCTTTCTCCATGTTTTCCTACGTTATCAAACAATCACGTTACATAAACTATTCGAGATATACTCCACATTTTACATGACAATAACGTTCCAAGAAACTTATACCTTGGCAATGTCTTTTGTCTCCACAGCTGTTTCTTTGGCCTCCTCTGTCTTCCCGGACAAGAAACCCATAGCTCTCTTCGCCGTATCAACCGCACTATCCTTCAACTCTGAAAGCTTACTCACTCCAACATCTTTCCCTTCCGTCGCCTTCTCCACCGTGTAGTCCTTATACTCTCCGGTCTTCTCTGCCGTCTTATCCTTTGCTTCAATAGCCTTCTCTGCAGTGTAATCCTTTGCTTCCACGGCCTTGTCCACTGTGTAATCCTTATACTCACCTATCTTTCCCGCCGTCTTGTCCTTGGCCTCTTTAGCCTTCTCCGCTGTATAATTAGCTGTCTCTTTTGCTTTCTCCGCTGTTTTATCCTTAGCTTCTACCGCCTTATCCACCGTATAGTCCTTATATTCACCTATCTTATCCGCCGTCTTATTCTTTGCTTCTACGGCCTTATCAGCGGTGTAATTCGCAGTCTCCTTAGCCTTCTCGGCAGTATAATCTGCAGTATCCTTTGCCTTCTCGACGGTTGCGTCCTTCGCTCCAACCGCCTTCTCTGAGACTATCTGAGCTCCTTCTTTAGTAGACTCAGCCGCATCATGGCTTTTTCCGACTACAGCGTCTCTCGCGTGCTCATAGGTTCCTTGCACAGCCCTGAACACCGATCCTATCACCCCAGGTCTCTCTTGCTCTGGTGGATGTTCGGTTGTTCTCTCCGTCACCTTGTACATCGTGACATCACCACCACTATCTTTGTTGATATCATGCAAGTCCTCAGCCGCTAGCCTCGCCGCAACTTCGGCTCTCTCCGTCTTTAGTTTGTCTGACGCCATCACTTGTCTCGCTTGATTGCTTGAAAAGTTAAGAAAAACAGAGTTGGGACTTGGCGATTTTAGAATCTTCTTTATTTGTGTTATCAGCTGAGCTGATTTTGTTTCTTCTTATAGTAATACTCTGTTTCTGTTGAGACGCCACGTGGTAGAAAGGCGGACGCATCAGCTGCCACGTGTAGAGTATTTTGTTTTATCTTCTACGAATGTCTTACGACACGTGGAATATTCATGCATGGATCTTGAGTGATCTCATGGGCATGACTTAGAGGCTAAGACATAAGCAAGCATTGATGGTCGGGTGTATCAAATCTTACATCATAATTTTGTGCCGTTCATGTATACACATTACACATAAGTTGTAGTGTTTAAATATCACATGAAGACAGTTATTTTAGTTAAAATGACTTGTGAAGCTACAAAAATGATGAAATAGTTTCTGATCAGTAAGATAAACGTAAATTTAACTTTCAAGGATTAAATCATATATCTGAACTATTTGGACTTTAATGGCTATAATCTGCAAAGAGAATACTGACTTTTTTTGTCTAAACCGACTAGAATTTTTTGGTTAATCACGTTAACTTTTTTTTATGTCAACAAAGTAATCACGTTAATCATCATGTTCTCCAATAGAGTAGTTTACACTGAATTAGGTACGTCTTTAATTTTTTTATTGTTTCTCCCGACAACATTGTGACGCGCATTTGATCCCAAACTCAAAATCATCCAACTCGGGCACATTTTTCACATGATTCGTCGTTAGTAATTGATACACACTCGCATGAGCACCGATTCCTTAATTTTACGAATATTTGGATCTCACTTTTATAGATTAAGTATCTACTATCTAGTAAAATTAGGTCAAACCATAATTCTGTTCGAATTTAGGTTCATATTTTGATTTCTAGGTTTCGATTTATATATATAGAACCTCCTAGCAGCATATAGCATGCATAACATGTAGGTACGTACGTGGGGAATACACACGTGTGTGGTGTGTCGTGTAAGTAGAGAATCCGATGCCCAAACGAGTAATCAAGCAAAATGTATCAATGGTCAAAAAGCAACCGATCTCAATTACCTTTCTTATTTAAAAATCGATTGAAAAAGCAGACACCAAAGGAAACGAATAATCTTACAAGACATGTTTCCTCCACAACAAAAAGATAGGAGTATAAAACTATATATTTTTTTAGAGATCATGATTCGTATAAACCATTTGAATTTGATCAAAGCCTTATAAGATTCATCAATCAATTCTCTAATCTGTGTTTCGATCATATCCACCGAAACGAGCAGAAGTTTTCTTAAGTGAGAAAGAAAGACTTCGGAGTTGACACTTGAGAACAAAGAGAGGAGGAGAGTAATGGATGGTTCAGGTCCGAGAGAAGGAGGAGGAGCTTTGAAACCAGCGATTCTGAGAGTTTGTGTTGCTATTGTCATATCAGCAACTGGTTTGATTTTGGCCAGGTTTGTGTCTAGGAAAGAAGATAATGAGGTAACTTCTTCTTCAAGCAATCCAGGTTCTTCTTCACCAGCTAGCAGAAGAAACGACGGAGAAGAAGAAACAGAGAGCCTAGATCACGAGAAGCAAGAGATCCTCAGTTTAAAATCCAGATTCGAGGAGCTTCAGAGGAAAGAATACGAGATGGAGTTGCGTTTCGAACAGTATTGTAATTTGAAAGATCAAGAAGTCATGCTTATGGAGCATAAAAGCATGTTGAGTCTTGAGAAATCTCAACTAAGTTCTTTCCGTAAAGAAGTTTTGGCGATGGAGGAAGAACACAAGAGGAGGCAAGATTTGGTGATTGTGTATCTCAAACTTGTGAGAGAAATCCAAGAGTTGAAAACAGAGAATGGGTTGCTTGATGTGAAAGCAAAGAATCACAGGAGAAGTACAAAGCAGTTATACCGAGTCCTAACCGAGAAAAGCAGGAGAACTGTTGGCTTAGAAAAAGAGTTGTTGAAGTGTGTTGATGAATTAGAAGCAAAGAATAAGGTTGTGAAGGAACTGGATGATGAAGTTAAAGACCTCAAAGCTAACATTGGCGTGCTGCAAGAGGAGAAGGAAGAGATTTCTAGGAGATCTTCTGGTTCAGAAGAATCAGAGGAATTAGAGGTAAGGTTGATTTTTGTGATCTATATATATTCAAGTAATTTGATGTTGATTAGCAAGTTGTTGCTTTTGTGAAGATGGTGAGTGTAAAAAACTATAGAAGGGTATTAGAAGAGTATGAGGCACTGAAGAAGGATTATGCGAATGGAGTGAAGGAAGTGATTAACTTGAGATGGAGCAATGCTTGTTTAAGGCATGAGGTGATTAGAAGTGGAATGAATTATGGGGAAAATGTGTTTTCTCCAAATCAAAATTTGCAAGAGTTGGGTATGGATGATCAAGCGGATAATGCTCAGGCACTGACAGTAGCAAATAATCATCATGAAGATGATCAAATTAATCATCATCATCATGAAACTTCAAGGAGGAAGAGATTGATGAAGAAGTTGAAGAAATTGGTTGAAGGAAACGACAAGGGAAAATCAAAAGCAGAGGAAAGATGTTTCGGAAGACATTCTTTGACAGTGGCAACTGAGGAAGAAGAAATGTTTCATTCAAGAAGATCTTGTTCTAGTGTGTAATAATAATTCTTGTTTCACTTGTAAACATGTCAGCTTTCTCCCCAATTATCATAGTCATTAAAATCTTTTATGAAAATGTATTTCACACAAGAAAATAAAACCAAACTAGAATGGCAAATTTCAGAACTGAATTGTATTAAAAACACACACACACAAAAGAGTTTTATGTAGCAAACGAAGTAAATAGTCTTTTTCCATTTTGCTCGTCACTTAATCGAGATGCCAGAAACGGCAGACGCCAAGTAATCAGAACGAAGAGTGTTTGGACTGGTCAGATTTGTCTTGGATGACTTCAGAACTTCAAACGCTTCATGAACTTTACCAGCCAAGTCTTCTGGTGATTTCAGCAAAACAACCAATTCCGACTTGTCCATTTCCAGAAGCATCCCTGTAATTTTGTTGGCAAGTTGGGGCTGCACAAGAATGATAAGTCCGGTCACTGGATATAAGTATAGTGTTATCCATATTAAATATTGAATGTGAATATTAACATAAGTACATAATGATCAAATTCAAGCACACCAACCTCCAGTTTCTCAACATGAGGGTAGAGCAGCTCTCCGAGCATTTGTTTCTCATTCTCAATTGTACCAGACTGTCTTTGTTGGATTGGTTTCTTCATATCTTTCCCGTGAACATAAGATCTGTTATGCTGCATATGTTTTACAAAATTTAATTTGAAACGTCTTACACATGGTATAAGGTAATAAGACAACTATTAGGAGTATTTGGCATATACCTGCTGGTTAGAAAAATCTTTTGACAAAGGTAGCATTTGAGTGGACTGATACATATGTGGCATATACGAAACAGCATTTCTATCCAACGTTCCTTTTCTGTTCTGCTTATTCTTTCCTGGCGCATTAGCAACCTACCAGAGATTTTTGTGTCACACATTATCATAGTGAATATTCTTTCCCCAAGTACAAAGCATATAAAAAGAATATACCGTTGGAGGATATGTGACTACTTGAAAGTTAGGGTATGATGAATTGATCAGGTTAACAGACTTCCACGGCGAGGCATATGATTGACAGACCATTCCGGGATGTGTATCGTAGTAGATCGAAGGGTATGTCCCTGGTATGACAGAAGCTGTGGAACTGCTCCCTCCTGCTACCACACGCTTTCCAAATTGAACCTGTAATTGCATCTGCCTATCTTCCTTCTTTTGAGCTATAGCTACATAAAGTGGTTTCCCATGAAACATTTGCCCTACAGCGCAAGAAAAAAGTCAGATGACAAAATGTACTAAGGGCTGTGTCATTATGTACCAACACACTGTAACCCTACGACTTACCATGAAAAGTTTTCACAGCATCAATAGCTTCTTCAGGTGATGAGAAACACACAAATCCGAACCCCTTGCTTTTCCCTTTATCATCACACATTAGCTTTACAGAAGTGATTGTGCCAAACTGACTAAAGTGTTTTCTCAGCTCCTCCTCAGAAACATCAACATTGATGTTTTTCACATATATGTTTGACACCTTAAATTCAGAGTTAACAACAACCAACTATCAGATTTATATCATAACAGATTAGCAAAGGCTTTGATCTATGGTTATACCTTCGCATTCATTTTCTGTTCTTTTTGTTTTTCTTCAAATTGTTCCCTTAGCAGTTGCTCCCGTTCTGACTTCTTCTGTGCCCTTCCTACATACAAACTCTTTGAACCTATCAAAAAGGAACAATGAGTTAACTCTTGACAAGACCTAGGACAATTTAATAATCTCAGGAAAGAGAAGATCTGTCAGACCATATTGTGTTCCATTCATGGTTTCCGTTGCCCGTCTTGCATCCTCTGGTTTGTCAAAGTTCACAAATGCATATCCTTTACAGGATCCATTTTCATCCTTAGCAATTGATAGGCTAACAATTTTCCCAAACTCTGAGAACTTTCCCCTTAGAGAGTCCTCACTGACATTTACATCTAGATTCTTCACGTACAGGTTTGTGTACTTTTCCTCCGGTTTGACTCGCTCAGCCTTCCTCATGAATATTCCAACATAGCTGCATAGAGGTTTTCCCAAAAGATATGATTTGAAAACCGTTTGTGAAACATAATGGTAGAGGTCAGATCTCTCATTTTAACTTTTTAAGCAAAATCCACAGACACGAATCTAAAAACCATCAAGTAGGAAGGTCTTACATTTTCTTGTCAGCAACAATGGTACCGTTCAAGTTCTCAATAGCAGCAAGTGCAGCTTCTTCTTGCTCAAATTGAACAAAACCATATCCCCGACTCTTTCCATCCTCAAGTGTTGCAATCTTACAGGACACAATGTTCCCAAATGTTTTGAACATATCTTGCAAAACTGCATTGTTGACTGATTCAGGCAGATTCTGAAAACAAATTGACAACGTTATCACCATCAACACAAGAAACCAACACATTTTAATCAAACATCGTCAGTGTCATCCAATCAACTTAAGGTTGATATACTACCTTTACGAAGACATTTCCAACCCCATTTTTCCGAGCATCAGGTTCACGAACCGACCACATTACTCTAATCATTTTTCCTTTCAACACAAGGTGATTCTTTTTCTCGATGGCAAGGTTAGCTGCACAAAATAAAGTAAAGAATCTTATCAAACAATGTCTTCTTAAGCCTGACAATAGATTCTTATTTCAGAAACATGGAGATACATTTGGTTCTCGTCTATGCTCAACCAATCGTAGTCAACGAACCAAGCAAAACTTAGTCCGGTGAGGCATTACCAAAGGAAATGTCACTAATAAATAGCTTTGGAGTTCAATACACAGACTAAGAACAAGCTCCATTTCCTGATAACTACTAACGAAGGTGAAAATTCATGGAAACGCGAAAATTAATGAAGATTAAGAAAACAACACCATTTTCCCGAGAAGGCCAAATAAACACAGATTCTTCAAAGATTATCAATCCAAGTGCGCAAAACAATGACAAATAAACAAAATATGCAACAAAACGAAGATAATCAACGGAAACGCCTCGCCGATAACCTAAAATCACCAAACAAAACCCCAACGAAATCGAAGAGGTGAAGAACAGTACCATCCTGACGCGAGAGAAAGTTAGCGTAACCATAACAGAGCGAACGACCAGTAGAGGCATCTTTACAGAGACGAACAGAGGCTAAACTCTTGAACTCGGCGAACGCGTCGTAGAGTAAACCATCGGTTACGCTAGGGTGTAGGTCTCCGACGTATAACGACGCCGTCACTGTAGAACTCGATCCCGAAGAAGAAGAAGCATTCGCCGCGGGAAAAGCAGCGTGAACAGTCGCCATTTTTGATCTGATTCCTCCAAGGAAACACAAATGCACTAAACGACGAAAAAGAGAGAGAGAGAGTGAAAGAAGGAAAGAAGATGACAAGAATAAAACGAGGCCGTTACGTTTACTCCTCTCCTGAGCTTTTATAATCGGTTCAGTAGCGTTTTGTTCTTAGTGCCGTTTCGTCTTGCTCGTGCCGTTTCGTTTTATAACAATACTGAAATTTTATTGGTGGAAAGTAAAAACGCAGCGTCTAATGTATTAAGAAAGGGATTAATTAGAAAGTAGCTCTACTTTATAGGCCACAAGTAAACACTATTTTCTTCACATGAAGACATATATCTACAATTAAAAGGCAATACTTACTACATCAAGAGAGGATCATTGATGAAAAGAATCAAAGGAACTCAACAAAAATCAGCCTACACTAACTCTAAAACAAAACACACAAAACTTTATAAATTTACGTCAAGGAGAAGAAAATACAAAGAAATAGAGCCAATAACATGCTAAAGAAGAATCTTAAGAGTATGTCCCTTGTTGAGATGTTCAAGCATGGTTGCCCTGAGTTTACAATATCCTTTCCTGAAGTTACCGATACATTCACAGACATCGAACCTGTCAAACAAAAACACAAGTTTTTCTAAGTTCAGATTGAAGATAACCTATGACTAGAGTTTTTCTAATTGACATGACTTTATGATTATATATGGTACTTACAATCATAGTTTGTCCATCCAATCCGTTGCCGAGCTAGATCATACACAAAGACTTTATCTTTCAGTACAAGATCTGCAAAAAAGGACAGATATATAACCACTGTTGAAACCAGAAGATGCGGTAATCATGAGTTTTTAAAGATCAGTGTCTGACCTCCTAAAATAGTTTGTTCTTCCGGAGCTTTCTCAAAACCAATGCACCACATGGACGCACCATCCTGTTAGATCGGAGAGACCAAGTAAGACAAAATTATGCAAAAGCAGACTATTTTGGTTTTACTACTTTTCTTTATGTAACGTTAAACATACAGAAGAGCTTACATAGAAACCGTAATGAAATAAGTAGTCCTGAGGTCTTAACATCATTGATGCACCACCAGCAAAGTTGAAACTAACGGTAGGAAACATGTCACTTATGCTGCACAAACACACAGAACCAAGAAAACTCTCCTCTTAACTTCCATCTAGAGAGAAAAGGATTTGAACAACGCAGTTACAGATGAGGAGACATACCTAGTCGAGACCAAATAGCACTGCTCTCCATGAGAAATGATCGGTGTTACCAGCTGTGACACGCTGTCTGATATCTGCAGATACAAAACAAAAACATCATGATGTTAAAGTCACAGTCTCATGCCGAACCCACAAGATATACACAGACTTACTGCATTAAGAAAGGGATCATAAGCCTCCTTCACCAGATATGTCAAAGTGGTTCCTGTATCAACAATAGTTCCACGGGTATTCGATGTTTCAAACACGGCTGCATCAATGGGAAGCATCTGTCCATTCACGCCAATACTCAGCAGATTTAAGTTATAGTGAGGCCTGTATTACGTAAACTCCTTTATTCAATTCACCAAAGAACTACATATCATAGAGAGACTTGATCCCCCCAATACCAAACCACAGACAACCCAGAATCCCCCCAACTCATTCTGCCCAACATCCTATTTAACATGTTAAGTCTCTATATAACCAACTCAATGACGGTTGCTGAGCTATAGACCTAGGAACAATCCACTATAAACCACCTAGGCTACATATAAAGCTCATGCAATAGACTAACACAAAACTTACACAAATTCAGGCTCAGCATAATACAGCATAATACACAATTAGAGAAACAATCTAAGACTGAAAAACTAGAAGAGGTTAGTGAGCTTACTGTGACAGGACAAGAGGACTGTAAACGATTCCTGGGACCAATATCTCGCCAAGGACAAATACACCACCTCCACTACCATCTCCTTTCAAGCAATGAGAAAACACTGGCGGTGTAATCCCTCGTGAAGACAGCTGAGAAACAACTGACAACTTTCCCTTGCCAAAACCAAATATTCCATCCACTGCTTTGTCTGACTTTGTCAAATCCCCAGATTGGTAGGTACTACAGCTGTTGCAAGTACAAGAAAACCATTTACGAAGCTTTAGGATTTTTAATCTGCCATACACGTTCATGCAAACACAAGGACTAGTTTTACATAGTAAAAGCTCTCACCCGAAAACAATGGGAGCAGATGAATTTGCAACCAAAGATTCTCCCAAAATCGCATCAAAATGGAACGTGTCAGTCATGTAGTAACCTGAAGTCCCACTTCCATCACCATAGCGAAAGGAGTAACCACACTGGTTATTCTCAGAACACTGTGCAGCCGTTGTCTGAAATACTGAAGAACAAATCGGATCTGAACAAGTAACAGAGCCAGCAGTCATGGAACCAGGAGCATCAAAGAAATGGAGGTCGATCTGAAATGTATTTGAAAAAAAAGATAAAGGATAAGCCTTTCACACTTTTCTGATGCTAATCCCACTTCTAAGCAAAAACTTAAGACAAGGCTACTTACTCCAAGTCCACTAGAGTGAGGGCAATTAGTGCAAGAACTACAAGTAACCCACAAGATGTCACTTCCAGTATCAATCTGAACATTGAACTCCGTTGGTGGAGAACCCAATTTGACCTTTGTGAAATAAAGCCTACCAAGAAACAGAATATAGATACATATCACATAAAAGAAAGATATGTCCCCACAAAAATAAAGACTGATAAATCATAAAACCCATTAGAACTCCAATAAGCAAATGTGACATACATAGTCGTCTTGGAGCTGCAAGAAAGAAAAAAGAAAGGAGACAAACTCAATGAGATCTCCGTAATCATAGCATTTCATAATCAACTTTTTTTTTTCCTTTCATTTCATAACCTTCTAAAGCACAGGACAAGATAAAAGCAAAGGGATAAAGGAACAAAAAAGGTGAAACATAATAAAAACTTTGAAAGCCCTAAATCTTTCAATTTCATTACAGAATTTGATGAAAAAACGATCTTCAAATCAATCTAAAGACCGATGAAGACGAAAAGGCAAGACATATTTCTGAGTTCTGGCTAGAACAAGAAATTAGAAAAAAGAGACCCCTCCAAGATGAAGAAATTATACCCGACGAGGTAAGGATCGGAAGAGCCTTGAACCGGGAAGTCCACGACGCCGCCAACGGAGCTCTGACGACCTCCTCCGCCGAGTAAGATTCGCGCGTGCCTGACACGATCACGCGCTCTGAGCTCACTCAGCTCAAGTGGCTCGTCTAGAGGAAAAGCCCTTTCTAAAGGAAGAATCTTGACCGTACCAGCTGCGTATTGAGCCAACGACGAAGGAACCGGCGGTGAAGCGAATCCAGTCAAGGCCAAGGACAAAGCCACCGCCACCGCGAGAAGCAACATCATGGGGCGAAAGATACGCATTCAAGTAGCTCGTTGTGATTCTAAGGTAGTACTATATTCCCGTTAAAAGACACAAGTTTACGAAGCTCGACACAAGTGCTCGATTCTTCGCATCGAGCGAGAGAGAGAGAGAGAGAGAGAGAGACAGGAAAACAAAAAGAACTGTCAGAGATGAGAGAGAGGGAGAGAGAGAGTTTTAACGGAGGAGATAGTGGAGCTTTAAGGAAATATTTATATTCGAAATTATTTGATTTCGTTTTGGTTTGGTTTTGGTTTTGGTTCGATTTTACTATTTGTATAAATTAATGATTGGTACATTGTATAGTATATGGTTCCTTCTCTCTACTTATTAACTTTCTTAATTAAGATTATGAAAAATTATAAACCGGGAAATTTTTCTTAAATAACGGATGTTGGTAAGATGTTCAAATTTGGAGCAACCAAATTGCTTATTTACGCTATTATTTATTGTGAGAAAAAACAGTTTCTTATACGCAAATCTTTGGTAAAAAATAAGAACAAACATTATATCAATTTTCACAACAACATGAGATGATGGATCATGGTATAAGTTAGATACCACTAGTCTTAGTTTAGTTATTATTAAACATTGACTTGTGAGACTCTGAGTCGCGCTAAGTCGTCGTCATGATCCAAAAGGTCACGTCAAAAAATGAGGGATTTGGTAAATTGTAGTGTGAGTTTCCTAAACAACTACAAAAATTAGACACATTCTCACGTCGCCCTCTCAACATAACTGTGCATTTTGTGTATATATATAGCTCTTGCAAGTTTCATAACACATATTCTCTCGATGTTAGAGAGCGTAACATGTTTCTTTATTGAATTCGTATATATATATATATATTTAGATATTAGATACTCTGAACCATTTTTGTTTACTTACACATCGAGTAAAAGGGGAAAAAAACCCAAAACCATGGTTTGTTTCAACGGATAGATGAAGTTTTAGCAGCGAGATGAACCAAAGCCCGTTGATGATAGTTGCTTCTTAGCTTCTTGTATTTCTGCACAAATGCGGCTGTGTCAATATCTTTCTCCATAAACTTATGTTGTAGCTCTTCGGATTCTTCATCCACCTTGTTCATCGCATCTGCAATCATAAACAAATCAGGATTGTGTTTAGAAACCAATGTGGAATTTTTTTGTTACACATTAAAAGTATTACTGAGTGAAGCAGCTTTACCTTGAAGCCTATGAAGAATAGAACCTGGAGAGTAGAATTTAAGGATCTCTTCTCTTTGATCCTCAAGCTCGTTGAGCCTCTCTTGAGCAGTTGCAAGCTCTGATGTACGGATTATCCTGCACTGTTACAGAAACGGTTTTACAGAGATGGTGAGAAGTTTTATATAAAACTCAATTAACACACACTCAAAATATCAACAATATACTCACTTGGTTTCTGAGCTCCACTATTTGTGGTTCCTTCTCCAAGTTTCCTCCTGTTATATTAGCATGAATGTTTCAGATCTAATGAAATGAATTAGAATTTCATTCATTTAATTATAAGTCATACAAGAACTCACTAGCTAGATGTAACGTTTCTTTGCGAAGCTCCTTACTGATCTATTGAACATATGAAGAAAAAGCACAAAAAAACGTAAATAGTGAATAAGCTACATTTCTTTAAGACATTAGATTTTTTTTTTTAACTTCATGTTTTGCGCCTTACATTGTTTTGAATAGAGACCTGATCAAGCGAGTGTAGAAACTGTTCGTATGCATTCTTATCAGACAGAAGGTTATTGAGCTCATCCACACTAGAGCAAAAACATTTGAAAAAGATCAGAAATGAGTATTAAGAGTAAGCACACAAGATAATGTAATGACAAGTATATGTTAAGTTCTCAACACAATGCAAAATCACAGAGACTCTCAGCAACTATACTATCATAACCACCGAACCAGTACTAGATCTAGTGTTTGTTTGGTGCACCTAAACTTTTCCAAAAGCCTAAAAGGCCATAAATTCATATTAAAGGAAGACAAAAAAATGTGTGACACAAGGCAAAAATGTTATACATCATGCACAATTCACAAAAGAACTAGGCAAGTTGAATCAAAGCTAACCTTTTATCTTTTAAAATTGCAATAATGCCGGCGGATTCACCTGGTGAAACATGTGGTGGAACCTGCCCTGATGTTTGAAGCCGGGATGAGCTAGGCAAGGTGACCAGAGACGGTGAATACCACGGTTGTGGAGATGTTTCTGGAGAAGGATGATACTGCCCTTGTTGTTGTTCTTTTGAGCCCCTGGATAATTTAAACAACATACAAAAACAATCTCAAAATGCTACCTGAAATTGTTCCCAATACCTAATATACTAACATTACAACTTCATGGACAGATATAAGATTTCTTTATAAGATTACAACTAAGAAAATTAAAAATTTAACTTTCTTTTGTAAGTCCATTACATCATTGAGAATTTTACATACTAGTTGAGTATTTGAATACTCAAATCTAACCATCTTTGGAGAAACCTTCTCATAAATTACTGTAAAGAGACCAACACAACAGGAAAGCTTACACTAGGAAAATTATGTATGCATCAGGATGTTCTAGCAACAACGAGTCTAGAGAATTGAAGAAAACAAAAATCTCAACTAAGAGCCATTAACGGTATGCATAAACAGTTAGTAACTAACAAAAAAAAAAACAGAGCTCTTAATTCACAAACAGACATATCCAACCAAACAAATAGGAGAAATCTGAACTCCCCAAAACTATCATAACCAAAATTAGACAATAACATAATCCGAGATGATGTAAAATGGAGTAAAAAGATCGCATATATAATCACAAAGAGACAATAGGTAAGCCTCAACAAATCATGAAGTTGAATGATGTTACCCGAAATTGAACATGGTTTCTTAGTTAGAGTCGACCGATTAGCCAAAGGGGTTTTGTTTCCGAAGTATAAATAGTCCCTAAATTAAAAACAAGAACAAAATAGCAAATCTGAAATTGATAAAGCTTTTACAGCAGATGATGAAAATGATCAAGACGGACGGAGTCGGCAACTGCCTAGATTCGTACTTTGTTTTGTTTTTGTCAACGAGATACTTTCATAACATATTTATCATTAATGGGCTTGTATGTCGGCCCATTAGAAAATTTCAGCTTAATCCTCTAGTGGTAATCACTTGTACAATTTTATCATCGGAAGAGTAAAATTAGTAAAACTTTTCCTTTTGCGTACGTCTTTGCATGGACTTTTATGTGTTGTCTTATCAAATTATTTATTGTTGTTTGACATACTAGTTAATTTTTCAAAATTGTGTTTTATGCATACATTGATCTGTCTAGTTTTGAAAATTATTATCATAAAAAAAAATTGGTAATGGAAGATAAGAGTTTTCAATAAAATGTGTTCTTCCCAAACCTGTATGAGGTTTCAATAAAAAGTGTGTTTCTCTCAGACGAGATCTTTCTTTTGTTGAAATGATATACGAGCACTCTTTAGTCTTTACATGGGAGAGAAAGACAAAAAATAAAATTATATGTTAATGGAAAAACACATAATTTTGTGAATCGTTATAATTATCTCTTTCAAAATAGTTCAGATCTCTTGATCAGTTGATCACCACACCACATGTAAAAACTATGCTCAGAGATTGATGTGGCTGGATCCTGGATGTGTCGTTTATTTTCTTCATATTATAATTTCTCTTCAGTCTTAAAACGTTGTAGATAATAAACATAAACATAAAGAATTGTTGGACAATTATCAATCTCATCCAAAAAAAAAAAAAAAATAGTGGTTACTGGTTGGAGTCGAGCAATAATTCAAGGAGTCATCATGCATGCGTTTTGTTATGATGTCTCTCATTAATTACAAATGCGCGACTTCCTAGAAAACATATGAAAAAAAAATAAAAATGAAATGAATGATTTGTTAGTTGATCATCTGGTTATAAATTGTCCTGTGAAGAAGAGTTGACCAGAAGTACATCTGAAGTACTGTTTCCGTTTACGGACATGGCCAGATCTTTTAAAAGCTATCCCTCTTCCCTTGAATCAGGAGACCTTGTCGGCTTTTAAACGTTTCAACTCTTTGACTATTTTGACGCTCCACACTGCGTCGTTTGTGGTTTCTGGATACAAACAGTATGCCGGTCAAGTCAGGTAACGCCTGGAAAGATTTAACACCGCGTAAGTGACCAAGTCTCTCGTTTAACACAATTCCACATTCGAACACTATCAACGAATGTTTCGGTATATGAACTAATCCTATTTTCAATCTAGATCTTCTATAAAATATCAAAGCATATTATTGTATGGTCCAAATTCCAAAATAATAGTCTTGATGATGAACATACATATATTTGCCGCGTTGGACAATTAACTAAAATATAATGTAGCCTATATTTTTTAAGATAATGTATATATTAAAAAAATTAAAATTAAAATTAATGTGAATTCGGATATAAAATTAGGAAAAATATAAAGGAAAAAAATCATATTCAAATACACACGTTTGGTTAATGTTAAGGGAAGTATAGTTAACTCTGGTTCGGTCAAATTGTTTATGTAAAATTTTTAAACGGTGATATTAGTAATCGAATGATCTGTTGACATGTTCCTCCTTAATATAATCAAAATTACTAACACCAGAATCGATCCAGTTGAATTAATTATTCGTAGCTTATCACTATAGTTCGAGAAAAATAAAAGCTTAATTATCACTATATTTTTTACGTTAAGGAACTTTCAGTATTTTTACGTTAAATTATTAAATCTGATCGGCCAAGCAAGTATATATCATTTATCTAAGATCCCACCAGCTCCAGCAGAAATAGTTGAAAGCAAAGTTTAAGACATGAAATTGGTTAGTGTCGTAGCTTGTCACTTTTTTTAATTTTAAAAAATTAGTTCGAGTAATTACGTTACGGATGCAACAGTTCGTCAGCAATATGTCCCTAACTTTTCTAAGTTTAAATATTAATTGACTTTTGTATACAATAATTAAAAAAACTCTTACGATAATAACTTTTGACTTAGGCAACTGTTATCAGAGAGCCGAGAGGACTTGGAAAGGTCCACGGATTCGTTTCTCCTTAATTGGAAGATGCTAAAGTCGTCATCATAATGTGCATATAAATTCAATTTATGACTCTTAATTATATTAACTTCACATTATAAAATTACCAAGTTATTGAACTATACTAATATTTATATATATATATGTGTAATACATTTATCAATGTCTCAAATACAACCTTTTTCACGAGTCTAAAATGTAGCTAATTAATTATCGACGACAGTTAAATATTGTTGTTTAAGGTATTCCATGCAGTACTAGTCATGTAATGGAAATATTATGTAATTTACGTTTCATTTTGCTGATACATTTAACACTGTTTTCAGAACAAATTTAATAGCGAAAATATTATATTTTATATTTTGAACAATAATAATAGCTAGCTAACCTTTTGTTCAACAAATAAAAAACTAAAATTGTATGCGAAGGAGAAATATACGAAAGAATATAAAGAAATAGAGAGAGCCTGACATGGCCTACAGAACCAATGCAACGAATGGAGAAGAAAAAGACGAAATGCATGCAGATATTACTATATTAGATAAAATACGGATTATCATTTTTAATTTAACTCTCTTGTTAATATATTGAATATTGTGTTTGACTTCGAGGCTTGGTCGTCCATATATAGGATCTACTTGTTTTAAACTCACGTAACTGTTCCTAGCTCCTTGATGGACTCACAACGCTTTATTCTTTTGTGCAGGACTCTCATCTTTATTTTTGAACCAGTTGTCAATCTAGATTAAATATTCGTTTAGAGTTGAGTAGTTGTTAGATAATCAGCATATATATCAACACAACTGTTTACATTTTTCTTCATCGGTTATTCAGTTACATGAAAAATTTATATCATGTCATAACGACACGTTAGAAAATTGAAAAATTCAAATGGTAGGAAGAACGTACGAATTCACATCAAAATCTGAAAAAATCAACTCTAGTTAATTGTGGACTTAACTCCAAGGCATTACTGTGAGAGAAGAGACTTTTTATAGCTTCAGATAGGGGCATGTTTGAGACTTACTTTTAAAGACTTTGCAAAATCTGTAATTCCTTTTCCAACTCTAGCTATAAGTCCATGATTCTATATTGAAGAATGATGTACACTAAATTATATAATAAGTAGTCAATATTTACGAATATGTGAGTTTTCAGATTGTGGAATTATGTGTATTTATAAAATTGAATTCAAGAAGTTAAAAATGAAGGAGAGTACCATCCAAAACAAAATGTTTTCAAAGTATTAAAAGTGGAAATAAATAATTTTGTTAACATCTTTGAAACTTTTGAAGCTTTAAGAAAAAAGTTAAAAAATAAAAATTCAAGGGGCACTTTATATGGCTTTATACTACGTCCAATAGTTTTTAGTTATTAGCTATACGTGCCCATACATGGATGTGATGTGGATATCGTAAAACCAACCAATTAATGTATACAAAGATGTCGTCGTTTGACTTTCATAAAATAATAATCCCATATGGAAAGCAGACTCGACAACCACAGCCCAGTTAACTATTTGAATCAGGAGCTTCCGATCTCATACATATTTTTAATTCATTCATGATTTGTTGATAGTTTAATCAGAATATATATATATATCGTAAACTAAAGTCATTGAAATTTCATCTTCAGAAATCTCCCGATCATGCAAATTAATATTTCGAGATTACTTTGCATGCTGTGTTCATCACATTTGTATATTAATTACTCTTATCGTCAACAGCTGGAATGCATGGACGAAACTAAACCTTAATTTATATATTTGGGAAGATTCGTCCAATCACAGTTTATCTATATTTTCCTAATAAAACACTTTAGCTTGCTTGCTTAGTAATTTTATTATGACAAGATCAAAATAGTTTAGAGATTTTTGGTATTCAACTATGGCTAATTAAGTTTGTCAAATCGTTAACTAGTGTAGGAGAGGGACTTCAAACATTTATTTTGGTAAATTATATGTAAAACTAATCTTCTCTTTATTTTCAAATTTAAAATATCATACGTACGTATGTTCCAAGTATTTTGCATATACTCACACACACATATATATATATATATATATATATATATATTGAAAAGAAATTGTGTATGTACATACACAATTTCTAAGAAATATAATCTAGTCGTATATGCTGGTCGGTCCAGACTATATTATATGTGACGAACACACAAAAATAAAACTCGAATAAGGTGTATTAGAAAGAGTATTATGAAGTAACCATTAAATAAACAGAATAGAAAATTACATTTTTAAGGAAAATATTTATATTTGAAAATGTTGCAAATGTCAACATATATACAAAGTCCTATTGAGTTGACCCAATCCCCTCCCCAAACAGGACCCAAGCAGCGAAGTTTCGCGCCAAGTAGTTTCGTTTCGTCAAATGCTTAAATATCATTATTTTGGGGTCTTTTATGCACAACTATGAGTATTTTTTTTTATATAAAAAATATAATTATATAAACGAAAAACATAGGCAAAAGATACATGTATATGAGCCTATTCTTCCAAGTTAATTAGAAAAAGAATCTTCTGGTACTTATATTTCCAAGTTTTGATATAATGACATAATATATTTTAGAGATTAGTCTTGATCACGAAATTTCTTCCTCTTGTTTATGTATATATGATCAATTGATGAAGGAATAAAAATATGCATCATTAAGCATCTCAACATATTCATTTTCCTCACTACGACGTACAACATATTATGTGTTTGACAATTAGTAACATACATGCATTATTTTCATCATTCTAGTCTTCCACATCGTATAAGAATGTGGAATAAATTTTGGTAATATTTTTGTTTCTGTAGTGTTTTTTTTTTTTTTTTGTAGTGTTTGTTTTATCGATGTTGTAAATTGAAATGTTTTATCCAAAAAAAAAATAGAAAAGAAAAGAGTGTTTTATTAACACGGTGATAAGACATTAATTATTGTTTACGCATTCTAATCTACGAATTCGGAAAGTTTCTCAA